TAGTCTTTCTCCATTGACACAGGAAAATCGAATTTCCTCCACACACATTACCTTACCTTTCCACTTCCCCCCAAACTGCTTTAGCACGCTCAAGCGTTCGAGGCAAGTTGGCAAGGTCTTGCTGGTGAAACGTGCGGAGGTAGGGAAGTATCGACTTCCGTGGAACTTTTAAAGTGGCTAACAAGGCGAGACCTTCGTTGATATATAACCGTGCGGTGCGCACGGCGGCCCACCGGCCAAGAACAATGATCCTGTCCAGGGATCCATGCTTGCCAAACCAGCACGTAGCGCCTCCTCTGCGTAAACTGTAGGGGCGGAACTCGAATTCTTCGAGATTCAACGCCTTTAAACAGACACTAAAGGTCTTGCGCCATTGGTGTGGTTTAGGTGTGAGAGGGCAATGCGGTGCGGAAGTGTGTTTCCAAGCCCAAAGCCATTGAAGGGCACATGTGACTGAAATAGTGACGCTTTCAGCGGCACCGGCTCGCTTTCCAGATTTTGTCAAACCTAGTGAGATCACTGCTGGTTTTTCGGGAGACGTCATCAGTATGTGATTGTTACACAGCCCGAGAATCTCCCCCGTACGCAGCAAACCGTAAAAACCCAGCAACAAGCTCAGTCCGAAGGCGTATTCTTTGTGGAACAAGCACCAGCCCAACATGGCGAACAAGCACTCTTCTGGAAGTGGGGGCGCGCGACTAGGCACCTCATTGACGTGCCACGTCTTCAAGAGGCGCCAGGTAACCTGTAGCTTCCCTTTCAACCTGGGTTCTGTGTCTTGAAAGGCTGCAACAGTATCACTTGCAAGGGCGCGACCCTCTCCAATGCTCCACAAATGCTCAACGTAATCAGCCAACATATCGTCAAAGGCAGTGACATCAGCGGGAATACTCAACCCGTTAGAGCGGGCGTAGGCGTAGAACTTATCCTTTGCCTGACTGCAACGTTTGCGGGTCTGCGGTTGCACTGTAAGTTGCCTCAAAGTTCCTAAAGCTTGCCTGCTTTTTGCCCTGTGTTCCTTACTGCGACCTTCCAAAACCTGCTTTACTTTACCCATTTGCGACCGAGAGGACGCCGGCTGGGCCGGTCTGCTGGGTTTTGGGATGCGTGGATGTACCCCCACACTGGGTGGAGGTCTGCAGCAAGGATCAGGGAGTTTACACGCTTCAGAAGATGTCGTAGCTTCCGGGACGACGTCCGCCCACGCGACAAGCTGTGCAAGCAAACTAAACTATCAGTCAAGTGCAAAAACCTTCGACCATGAATGCCTCGACGTGCAACCAACCAACGCAACGTAGTAAGAATCGCCCTGAGCTCAAGCACATTGATGTGGTCTCCTGAGTGCTGCCGCCGCCAGCCTGCGACTTCTTTCCACCGCCAAAGCTTGGCTGGTACACTGGAACGGAGCCTGTGGAACTTTACCTGGGGCTCACTTGCAGCGGTCACCATAAGATCCTCCCCCTTCATCGAAACCATCCCCAACAACTTCATCAACAAAGGGCCCTCCAAGGAGCTCACTAGCGACTTGGTCGAAGACAAAGGAGGTCTCAAGAGGATGCCCTGCAATGAGCGACTTCCCCCGGGGGTCAAATAGTCAACAGTCTCTTGAAGGGATTGACGCCGACAGAAGCCTAATGGTCCCAACAGTTGCTCCAGAAGCCATGTAATGACTCCTACATGCCAGGAGTTACCAATCAATGTCAGCCTGGTGTCCTCCCACTTTGGCCCGCTCTGTTCAGCCTTCGGGAGACAGGGGCGAGTGTACCCGACTGGGATACACATCATTGCAATGCCTCACGCTCTTGAACATTTGGACGTCGGGCTGCGCCTTTCTTCGTCCATAGCAAGTTGTGGTCCCGATATTGGTACGGTGGAAAACGGTAACCATCTTCCTCCCAGCGTTGGCGTTCGTGTGGTGCACAACGATCTAACCCGGCGGGTCGAAATCCCGGTTGGTCTCGTGGTCGGGATGTGGTGAATGTAGGCAGTTTGAAACCTTCGGTGACAAGCCATCCGGGCTCCAAGAAAGCTTCTGCTTTGACCTCCGCCTTCAACTCGACCACGCCACAACCATGCCACACGTCCGAGTCAACGGGAGTCGTGACTGTGACTCCCTCGCCTGGGTACAAGTCCCAGTCAACCCAATACAGCCGAGGGCGATGACAAAGGCCGATGCCCGCAGCATCTATCTTGAATGGGGTCATCTGCACTGCCTCGCTCATAATGCTTCGATCCACTTCTGACATGGAGGCCACCGATTCCATCAAGGTCCTGACTTGGGCCCAAGGAAAAGCGTTCTTGAGCAGGTCACGGATACGCGGGACTTCCTGGTACAAACAGCTGCGCTCGTCACGGAGGGCGCCCTTCTTGGACGCGTTCAACGCACTGACTCCCTGACACGGGGGTCCAGCACCAAGAAGAACAAGCGACACCGAGGGGAAGCGTAGCGCTAGTCCTTTTACCAGAGCCTCATCGACCGTCCTCACATCGTCATGGAACATTGAATCAGGAAAAAAGGCTTCTACCACTCTTCGGCCCGTGCCTTCCTTCTCAACACTCAGGTGCCCTGCCACTGCAACGCCCAAGCTGTCCACCGCCAACCTCAACGCTCCCAGACCATCGAAAAGGCCAACCGTCAACACCTGTAATGTCTCCCCCTCTCGCGGGAGTTCTCCACGGGATTCACTATTCAAAGCTGCCACACCATAGCTAGTCAACCCTTCGCTGACACAGGTGCCCCCGCCCGTGGTGGAGGCGTCGCTGCACGTCACGTGCTCAAGGAAGGGGCTCTGAAAGTCAATCTGCGCCAACGGGGTCAGCAAGATGAAGGTGAGCAACTCCTCCTTTACGACTCGTGGAATTGGCAAACGAATGACGGGAGGGAGCACTTTCAACTTTTCCATGAACCTCCACACTTCGTTCAATGTGGCAAGAAGGGGCCGGCGGAACAGTGCGAAATACACCAGTCCACCACAAACCACTTGCAGCTCTTTCAAAGTGCATCGCTCTTGGTTCACAAGCATCCAAGCCAGTTGACAGTAGAGAACCACCTTACTGGGCTTTGGTTGGGCAAACCCTGCCACGCCGTCAACGATGGCCCCTTGGATCTCCGCCACCTCTGCGCGCACCACTGCCTTCTTGGGATGCCTGGGGATGTTTTGACTAGTGTACTGATCCCGCAAGTGCTCAACCACCTCTGCAACTTGGCCACCAAGGGCTTGAGCCGTGGGGGGGTCGAAACGCTCTACCAAATCGAAGTTATCGAGGTAGACCCTGTATTGTGTGCGCGCTCGACTGCTCACACGATCCTTGCGCATCTCACACTCTGCGCCCAAACCACCGTCGACCTGCTGGCTCCATCTGACGATGTTGCGGTGTACATGTTGTGCAATCGACACACTGTTGACAAAGCCCATAGGCAACACGCAAGCTGTCAACACACAAGGACGCCCTTGCCACTTCTCCGGGATCAACGACTCAGGTACGTGACGATTAAACCCCAAAAACTTCTTCCAGGCGTTCGGAATCTTGAACAGATAAAAGAAACACCGGATGTCTTCAGAACTAATCAACGCGACGTCGCCATCGTCCAAAAGGAAAGTGCCGAAGCTGCTGATGTTCGGGAGAGTGACTACGTCTCCCACCAATGAATCACACAGCTGATTGAGGGGTACCAGATTCATAATCAGCCGTTGGGTCTCCACTGACCCAACGAACTCCCCCTTCCCAACTCCGAACATACCGTTCAGTAAAGGCACCTTGTCGATGTGGAAGAGCTGGTCCACCGGCGTGATCTCGCAAATGTTCTTCTTGATGAGTCCCTCGCAAACGGCAGGCCAGTCGTCACCCACCATGACCCGAGGGGCCCGAGGGCAGGAGAGGCTAGAGGTGTCAACTAGGTGGTCCTCAAAGTGGTCCAGATAATTAAGGGTTCCGTGAGTGCAAAAATCCCGCAACTCCAACTGACCCACTTCATCAGGCAACGAACCACGGACTCCTTCCCAACTCAAGGTTTGAGCGACACGAACCTCCTCCCCATCGTATGTCACCCCCCTCTTTGCGAAGAAATCTTTGAAGTCGAAACGGCCCATCGGCTCTTCCCATACCTTGAAGCGCTCACACAACTTCCCTAAGTTTTCCACGACTCCGCAAGGTTCACGGTTCGGGCGAGGTCCATCGCCCCTGCCCGTGGCATACTTGTTCAGCCCATATAGATCATGTCCGCCACTGCCATGTGTGATTTTTTCCATGGATCCAGGGGTAGAAGGATAGGGAATAGATCGTCAGCCAAGACTACCGTGTTCTGCATGCGCTCACTCTCCAATTCACTAAGCTTCAACCTGGCCATGGACATGAGCTGACCAAAGTTCTGAGGTGAAACATTGTGGTCTACAGCTGCCTGTGGGTTCACGCGACTCCCCTCTTTCGGGAGTCCAATGTTCTCAGCAGCTGCTGGCGTGCCGTGGTCGTCTGCTCCAATGGCCGGCACCGACGTAATGAGGGCGAGCCGGCCCATGCCTAGCTTTCCCTCCTGTTCTCCTCCCTCAGCACGGGAGCCCAACAATGAATTCTCAACCTTCTCAACATCTCCTCGTAGTGCCGTATGCTGTACCGGGCCTGCCAACCCTGTGTCAGCCGAAGAGCGCATCAACGCCCTGTGAAACTTCTCAAGCTCCAGTGCCTCCTTTTGCTGCTCGCCTTCTTCCACATTGCTTTTCGGGAGAGTACGCCCTGCCTCAACAAGCTCTCCCCTCATGCACTCCCTTCTCAACTTCTTCACTCCTTGTCGCCCTTCTCCTCTTTCTTCTTTCCATCGCCTTTTCGATTGCCTTTGTCCTTGAACTTGCCATCTCCTTTGCCCTTCTCTCGCCTTCCTTTTTCTTTTCCTTTGCCACCTTTGTAGAAATCCTTGTCCTCCCATGACCATCGTCCAGTATTTCGTCTCATGATCCGGTCCTCGGTCTGCATCTCTCGGCCTGCTTCTCCGGCTTCTGGAGTGGTCAGCAAGGATGGGCGGTCGGCACCCACCAACTCTAGTCGGCGAGCAATCTCTGTGCTCGTCCCTCTTGCCATGGCTTCGAGTGCTTTGAGTCGTTGACTCGCCACGTCCATGGCGGCCGCTACGCGGCCTCGCAGGCTCAGGTCCAGGATAGTCGCTAGGTGCAACGATTCGCGGGCATAGGCCACTCCCATGTGTGGTTGCAAATGCGCCCGGAAATACTGAGCCACCACGGGAGCCACTGCTCCCTCCATCACCGGCCGATTCACATAGCCCTGAGCTGTCATCATCTGTTCTTGCATGTCCAGGATGGCAGCGTTGGTCAATGCCCCTGGGACGCGGCGCCACAGCCGCAGGGACCTCCTCTCGCTCTCGAACAACTCTGAAGTTGCTATGCGCCTCTCTCCCAAGCTTGAACTGTCGCTGCTCTCTCCTGTGTCCTCCTCTGTGGACTCCTTGCTCCGGGAACGCGATCCCTTCTTCTTCTTTTTCTTTCCTCCCTTTCTGATCTTCCTCGCCTTTCGCATCAACTCGTGTCTCACGCTGGCATCCGGGTCCAATGCTGAGTGCTTGAAGACGTCCTGAACAGGCACCTCCAACTGGACTCTCACCTTGGCCTTCCTCTTCTTGCTCTTCTTCGCAGCCTTCTCCTCCACGACTCCCTCCCCCTTTCCGGGAGGGTCCACTGCTTCGGGAGAGTATGCCACCTCCCCTTGATCGGCTCTCTCGACCATCTCCTGTCGGATCCGGTGAAGTGGGTCGTCTTCTCGGGGTCGTGGATCTCCTCGTGGAACCTCCTCCAGGTTTGTCCACCACTCTTCTGCCGGCTCTCCCTGGACGCGGTAGTGGAGGCCGTGGATCAGGTCCTTCGCCCAAACCAACTTGTCGCATGGATCTGGGCAAACATGGATCCTCAACTCTTTGCAACGACCTGCAATCTCTCGCAGAAGGGATTCGCTTTGAGTCCCTGTGACCCATAGCCTCCATGTTGCGTCCCCGTCGTTGATCACGACACCACGCGTCTCCCCTGCCACGAGAACGGGAGACTCCCAATAGCGACCCTCTAGCACCACTTTCTGCCGCAGATTGAGGGCCCCCAATGTAATCTTGCTCAACGACACCCATTCCTCCTCTCTTCGACCGGGAGACCCTTCTGCCTCCCTCCTGGCTGGCCTGCGCAAGGCTTCCACTCCTGACCTCCGAAGAGCACCTTCTCGTCGCCCCACCGGGATAGCAGCTGGGCGTCGACGTGGGGGCATGGCGATCAGTAGTACTCTCGCTCGTACTCCCTCCACAGGCGGAAATTGGTGTTCCGCTCGTCCTTCTTCCGTCCCTTGTTTGGAGGGGGTTCGCGATAGGCCCAGGACTTCGACCGCACGTCAGTCGCCTGCCAGCTGGAGTACCCTGGGGGTGGATGGTCGGGCTCTCGTGGAACCTTGACCGGAGGTGGCTTCGGTGGAGGGGGGATCGCTCTCTTCTGAGCGTTGGTGAGCCCCGATGCACGGGATGGCAAGGGTCGCCCGGGGGAGGGGGACACGACCTCCCGGGGACTGGGAATCGGTGACCTGGGTGAACGGCGGTCACTCTTTCGCTCCCTCTTGTCCTTTCGGGAGTGGGAATGGGTCGTACGCCCTCTCTCAACGGGGCTTCTGGCGTGGCTGGAATGGCGTCGGCGGCGCTCTCGGTGATGGCTACGGGAGCGAGGAGTGGCTCCCTCCTTGGTGTCCTGATCTTTCTCTCTTCGGCGACGACGTTCACGATCTCGGGAGCTCCTTTTCTTTTCTTTGTCTCTTGCCTCACCACCCTCGTTCTGGTCCTCTACCTCAGCGGGCTTCTTCTCTTCGGTCACCTTCTTCTTGTCAGCGGGGTGGTCACCACTAGGGCTGGTAGCTTCTGCCTCAAGGGGAGCAACAACTGGGGCACTGCCTGGAACTGTAGGAGCTTTTTCTTCTTCTGGCTGGGGCTCTTCCTTGACGCTCTTCTTCGGCCCCTCCCCTCCCTCTGCCGGGAGAGTGGGTTCTCCAGGAGTGGCAGCCCCCGGATCCCCCGCTTCAACAAAGTCAAGCAACTGCGAGTGTGTCACACGCAGCAGCTCGACTCCGCGACGCTGAAGTGCGCCGCTAGCCTCCCTCGCGTACAGGAGGCTGAAAACCCTGCGAAAGGAAAGGCAGAGCGCGCACGAGCAAGTCTCAAACTCGTGCGGCATCCACCCTTCCCGCTAAGCCGAGAAGCTGCGGGAATCAAATTAAGGGGGTGTTCATCTTTAAATTCGGGGCGATAGTCATATATATATATATACATATATCCCGGACGCTCCATGTATGGTATATATGCCTACATTGACCCCTGAAATCATCCCAATGTATGTAAATATGCCATACATGGAGTGTTTGGGTATAGGGACTTCTTTGGTCACAAGGGATCTTTTATAAGTATAATACATCATGCACTCCATCTGCTTGTTGGGTTTCTCCCCACTTGCGAATGCTCCTTAAAATTCACCCAAATCTGCATTCCCTTTGCTTGGCCGTTAGTAGCTGCCATCCCAATCAAACATTAAACAACCACATGGACCATAGCCATGCAAGTACTGCAACTACCTGTCTTTGTTCTGCAAATCACTTCCCTCGCACCCCCTGAGCAGTGGGTTGGAGACGCGGGGAGCGCCGGTGTCTGCGGAAGACACGGAACGCGTCGAACGGGTGCACTTTTTGACGCCACCACAGGAAGTTACAAAACACCACAAGAATTCAAGCCAAGCAGGTGTGCAAATCACCATGCAACAATAACTCCTCTACAGTGCTTGATGGTTGTGGATTTCAACTTCCAAACTACTGGAACAAATGCGCCACCCCGACCATAGGGCTTTTGCCTTAGGCCTAAGGATTCGACGTGAGCCTGCCTATATCAAATTATGATGTAGCTTGGCACCAATTCTTGGTGCCGTCGGTGTCTCCACAACAAGCCTCCTGGCCGATCTCGCCACAATTCCCTTTCGACGTGCTCTGACTGGTGTCACAGCAAGCGCCTGGGACATCACTATCACTGGAGCATTTGGCGTGGCAACGCTGGACTTGGCAGTAGGACTCGCTGCTGTCCGTGTTTCCGCAGCAACCCTCCTGCCCCAATGTGGCACAGCTCCCCTTCGTGGTCACCGAGTCAGGATCGCAACATTGTCCCTTGTACGGACCTTGCACACACTGGTCGTCGCAGGAGGCCGTGGTGGTCGTCACGGTAGTACTGCTAGTAGAGGAAGTGCAATTGACATCGGGGTCCTCGATACATTCCAAGGAGACGTCGCTTGAGCGATTCTGCCAATCCCAGAAGCTCATACCTGCTCATCGAGCGAGCTCATCGAGCGAAGGCCACAAAAATGCATTTAAACAGACTCAACACGTAGGACACAGGATGCTAATTTATGGGCAGTATCCAAAGCCGTTTTCGAAACTACTTGGACAGTCGGTTCTATGATGTTCCAACTCAGTGCAGCCCCTGTTCCTCCCCAAGTTGCCACAATTATCCCTTGGGCAAGCTAGCTAGTGGGATTGGGATCGCAGTCGAACCAAGCAACCTGCCAAACTGTAGAACTTGATCCAGGTCTTGATCACGTCCATATAGCAGGGCTTCAAGTCAATCTGAGACGTTGATCAGGCGAACAACCCGTCGTGCCCATGGAACAAAACAGCAGAAAACCAAAAAACAACTCCACAGAACGGTCCAAGTCTATTCCCATCTAGCACACTCCATTCCCATCCTAGCACATCAAGCTATAAAAATTCAAGTCCAACATACTTAACTTATTTATATATAGGGTCAAACCATGTCAAAGCAAGCAAATCAAGTCAAGTCTGCGCAAATCAAGTCACTGTGGTGAGGGCCAGAATGAGCTTGCTCTTTGGAATCGAAGTATTGAGCCAATTCTGCACATAACCCCAGGTTTCGCCCGAGTAGGGGTTGGAACAGTCGATGGCGTAGCCGTTCTTGTCCATATAATAGGCATGGATCAGAACGGCAAAGTAGTCCACGGTGTCTGGGTAGTCTTCGGCGATTTGGCTTGCATTGGGGTAGTACCTGGCAGCTGAATGCTAATGACCGGTCAGCTATGCGAATCGTTGGTTTCGACACGAGGTACCATGACCTGCTCGCTGCCCAAAACATATGTTGGATGGAAGAAAGGCTAGCCACTCTGAACAACGTGGCTCCCGAAAGACATCATGCATAGAGCAATTACAGTACTGTAATTGGTGTAATACATATAGTATACTTGTGGGTTCCCCCTTGTGAGGAACCCCTCCAAAAACAATACATCTCCAAAAACAGAGGCTAAGCCCACCAGTTCTTGCGGCCAAGAGGCGCCACCATGCCGGTCATCTGGATCTTGGAACTGGGACTGGCCTCTTTGATTTGAACAGCCCATTCAGCCGCCACTGTCCAATTGGTGTAGTTGATGGCGTCGCCCTCCATGTCCATTTCCACATTGTTGGCGTTCAAAGTGGAGAACCACCCAGTGAGTGTGCTAGTACCTGAATTTGCAAATGCAAGGAGGCCAAACAAATTGGAAAGCAATCTCCAAAACTACAAGGCCTGACTTTGCCTAAGTGATTAAAAACTCCTGGATAAAACAGCAACAAAAAAAACATTGAAACACTTCTTAAGTTTCAACTGTAGCACTTGGCAAGGTCCCATCATTCACTTTATACCCTCCAAAGGTGAGGTAGTTGTTGGAGGCATCCGAATCTGAGGAGGCGGCCGGAGGTTCCTCGCTGATGTTTGCTTGGAACTTCCCATTGTGCTGCTGCCATCCACTCGGGATGTCACTGCAAAGAGTCAACCAGGAGTCACCGCAGTAGGCCTGGAGGATGTACGAGCTCGTGCTAGGCGGATGAGGAGGATGAGGCGGATGGGGTGGATGGGGGGGATCAGGATGAGGCGGATGTGGATGAGGTGGATGCGGATGTGGTGGATGAGGTGGATGAGGCTGCAAGTGGCTGCCTTGGTCAGAACCATGGCCGCTGACTTGCAGCAGGGCAGCTGGTTCCACTTCATCTTCGCATTCTGCGGCACCCGCCGCCATGCAAAAGCACCATCCGGCAAACAGGATGCTCAGGGACACCTTCATGAATGGTCGAAATTCAAGAAACCCTAGTCTTCCGACCACTTCAGCTACACTCTTGATCCTTGATCCTTGTGAACCAAGTCACCCTCGTTCCATCCAGTCATCCAGAAGCAAATCCACTTTGCAAAGCAACCAAAGCAAACAAACCTGTTCTAGCATTGTAAAAACATAACACCTGATTACGGGCGACTCTGATTCGTTCAGAACACTCTTTTTCGTCGATCGATGTCGAGCACAAGGCCTCAAACTGGAGACATTCCAAACCAGGTGGACCCCCCTTTGTGTATGAAGAATCTATGGAATCCAAACAGAAAAGAAACATACAGCTACTGTTCTGCTAACTTTGGCTGGTTTTATAATGTTTTATAGACGTTAAAGGGCAGATATGTTGCATAGTAGTTGGAAGATCCAGAAATAAATCCATGGAATTCTAGAATCCACATGGCATATTTATGTCTATTTTGTAATAGTGATCTCCACCCTGCCCATTCCTTCCCATCCCCCATTCCCTGCCTCTGAGCATGGCGCTCTTCACCTCGAGCCAGGAAGACCCACCAGGACGCCGTGGGCGGCATTGGATGGTTTAACCTCGCCCTGACCCAGCGGGGCCGTGGATGTTCTGGGTGAGAAAGGAAGGTTAGAACCTATCCGAACAATGCAGAGCACCGAGATGAACATGGAACTGCTGGCAGGGAGATGAACATGGAACCCCCAAACTACTGGGTTGTAGAGGAAAATCGTCTTCCACGGGTCAATTCTCAGGAGTAGAGCAACTGGCTTTGCGCAGGACCCCAACATGGCTTTGGACTCTGCCTGACAGACCGGGTCTTGACCCAGGCCATGAAGCCGACTTCCGAGTGGAGACCACAAAATTCCTGGTCTCGGCCGAGACAGAGCGGCCCATGGCATGGTGTGAAAAGTGGCTATCTGGGGTGCTTTCACAAGTCAACAAGGCCTATAATTGTCGTTCTCGTTCTGCACATCGACATGCCTCCTCTTATGTCCACCCAGTCAACGACGGATCCTCATAGCTACAGCGTAACAGTTTGGCCCTCCTTCGATGTTCGACCCCTCTTTCGGTGTTTAGCCACTTGCAGCCACCGCGTAAGGCACCGATGACCGCACTCGTGCACTGGCGTTGCGTCAAAGGGAAGAACAAAACCGGTACGCGCGCCGACCCCGTCCACCCGGCACCGGTCGCCTGCATGGACACTCAGCTGCGTCGCTACATGACTCAACAGGGGTCAACCTCCCCACTGGAGTGGGCGTCATCCAGGTTCCGTTCTGCTGGTTTCACCTCATCGAAACCAAGACAGTTTAAAGTGACGTGATGTTTTGGCTATCTCTGTTACATCATATACACATCATGATACAGTATTACATCATTCCATTTCTGGGATGGAGCATGACCAAACGACCAATGTTCTTTTTTTGTATACTGCGCCCAGCTTCACCCGTTACTTCACCTGCTTGCCGCTTTGCCGCTCCGTTCCGGTTGACATCTCGTTTCAGATCTTGAGCCGACCAAACTGCTCGTTGGACGAGCGTTCGGACGGTGCGTTCGGGAACTGGACGGTCGGTCGGTGGCCGTGGCGAGTTCTTCTTCTCAAATCGAACGACTGCTCTTAGAGCCTCCCCAAGTCGTGCGACTCATTGCTGCTCGCCGAGTCTTCAAACAGCATTGACGACTTGCACTGCCGTTGGTTCAATGCTATGACTTAGCACCTCTGATCGATACCACATTGCCCCCGTTGAGCTACTTACTTTGTCCAGGCCAACCAACGCCAACCTGCACATTCTCGAAGCCCCCCAATCGATGAATGTGAACATCCTGACAATTGAGGTATAGCATGGCAGTAGTATAGCCACATTGTCAATACCAGTACCGAGCGTGGCTCCGGATTCCATCCATGCTCGCTCCATCCTTTTTTCTTTCGCACCTGAACCCGTCTCCACGGTCTCCACGGTCTCAGCGTCTGCATCGAACGTGGCGCTGCGAGACCCGCGACTTTCGCGTCGGCGCCGCGTGGTCGTGGAGTCGATCCTGGAAGTGGAAAGGATGGCAAGAGATGTTTAGTGACCTCAACTAGGAACTGGGGGATAGTCTATAATTAGAGTTCTTCAACCTCTGTTGGTATCTCTAGGGCCTTTCATTTCAGGCCGAACACAACTATAACAAGATGGAGCCCACGAACCCGAATGCAAAACCGTTCGAAAAGCTACATATGTCCAAATGACACTCTTGTAGGACACTCTTGTGGGACACTCTTGTGGGTCACTCTTGTAGGAAACTCTTGTGGGACACTCTTACGGGACACTCTTGTGGGACACTCTTGTGGGACACTCTTGTGGGACACTCTAGTAGGAAACTCTTGTGGGACACTCTTGTAGGACACTCTTGTGGGACACTGTTGCGGGACACTCTTGTGGGACACTGTGGACACTCTTGTGGGACACTCTTGTGGAACACTCTTGTGGGACACTCTTGTAGGAAACTCTTGTGGGACACTCTTGTGGGACACACTCTTGTGGGACACTCTTGTAGGAAACTCTTGTGGGATACTCTTGTAGGACACTCTTGTGGGCCACTCTTGTAGGACACTCTTGTGGGACACTCTTGTGGGACACTCTTGCGGGACACTCTTGTGGGACACTCCTGCGGGACACTGTTGCGGGACACTCTTGTGGGACACTCTTGTAGGACGCTCTTGTGGGACACTCTTGTGGGACACTCTTGCGGGACACTCCTGTAGGAAACTCTTGTGGGACACTCTTAAGGGAAACTCTTGTGAGACACTCTTGTGGGACACTGTTGCGGGACACTCTTGTGGGACACTCATACGGTACACTCTTGTTGGGACAGTCTTGTGGGACACTCTTGTAGGACACTCTTGTGGGACACTCTTGTGGGACACTCTTGTGGGACACTCATGTAGGAAACTCTTGTGGGATACTCTTGTAGGACACTCTTGTGGGACACTCTTGTAGGACACTCTTGTGGGACACTCTTGTGGGACACTCTTGCGGGACAGTCCTGTAGGAAACTCTTGTGGGACACTCTTGTAGGACACTCTTGTGGGACACTCTTATAGGACACTCTTGTTGGACACTCTTCTGGGAAACTCTTGTGAAACACTCTTGTGGGACACTGTTGCGGGACACTCTTGTGGGACACTCATACGGCATACGGTACACTCTTGTGGGACACTCTTGTGGGACACTCTTGTAGGACACTCTTGTGGGACACTCTTGTGGGTCATGCTGCGAGGCTGCAAGACGAGCGTTTCGTACGAGACTTCCTCCAAAAGTCACGCGTCAAGTCTCAAAAACGAGCATTTCGTACGAGACTTCCTCCAAAAGTCACACGTCAAGTCTCCAAAACGAGCGTTTCGTACGAGACTTCCTCCAAAAGTCACGCGTCAAGTCTCAAAAACGAGCATTTCGTACGATTCGTACGAGACTTCCTCAAAAAGTCACACGTCAAGTCTCCAAAACGAACGCTTCGTACGAGACTTCCTCAAAAACTCACACGTCAAAGTCTGCAAAACGAGCGTTTCGTACGAGACTTCCTTCAAAAGTCAAGCGGAAACACCCATCGGAGCACACACATCACGCAGCCCTGCCAAGCAGTTTCGCGATTCCAGCCCCTCCAAACAAAATTCGCTCACACGCCAATCCCAATGTGACAGCGACATTCACCTCTACCACAACTCACAACCTCACGATTCCCTGCACCTGCCACGAATCTTTCCGCGTCCACACGTCTAACGCGCACAAAGTACTGCGCCTGCCACGAAATGTCACCTCCGTCACACCTCGCAACCTCACGATTCCCTGCGCCTGCCACGAGAATCGCACTTCCACGCCTCAAAGCCCGCACAAAGTCCTGCGCCTGCTACGAAAAGTGACAATATCGTCTCAATCCCAATGGCACGGCCACATCCAACACCCCAAAAACACGACTCTCCAAACGCTAATCCCAATGGAACTGCGCAGCAAACTGCGGATCTCACAAAACGCTGCGCCTGTGCAGCGAAATGCATCACGTTTCTTGCGCGACATGTCATTGTCATGCAAATCACAATGGAATAGCGGCGCAAACTGACACGTGACACGTCCATGAAAAGTCACTTGCAAAAGCTTCCCCCAATGGCAGCAAATTTGAGACGCGACGACGACGACAAACGACGACACGACGCAACCCATGCAAACACAGCTCCACCCCCAGACCCCCAACTATAAACGGGAACCCTTCGCTACGCATTCGGGAAAAAATATTAGGAGCCTTTTCAGGTCAATCAGTTTGTTCCTGCAAAATGTGCATGCAAGCCAATGACATCATCATGTGTAGTTCGCTTTCATGCGCTTTGGCACCTGTAGTGCAATCCGACCAAGTCCAGTTGAGGTGCGTTGGAACCCGAGACTGCAAGCTTGGAGTTCATTGGATATAGACATAGACCCAAAGATGGTTCATGCGCAATATGCTGGAACCAGAACATTGTCACGAGTTGCCTATGGCCGAAGCTGTTTTGGCATCCCACAACTAAGCACCATGCCATGGCAGAACCATAGAAGTGTGCTTGTTAAAGACAACATCATCTCCACTTGAACCCCCCTATGTGCGGACTAGTAACAAGCTACGATCGCTCCTGGCCTGACGCTACGAACGGGGCTCCTGGCATCGCTACGAACGTAACAAGAAGCGAGCGAGGCGGCCCTTCAAGGCCACACCCTCCGAGTGAACTCCAGTCCTCCGCGCTCTGCGCGCCGGGTTTCCGGAAGGCCGCCAGGGGAACGCCGTTGAAGCCCATCATCTCAGACCTCGTGAAGCCGTTGAAGCCGAAGCCATTCCCAATTTAGCCAAAAAAAGGAGCTGTCTGGGGGAGGGGCCTGGAATGGCCAGATGCAGAGCCAAAGCCCTGGTGATGAAACCATATGAAACCCATTTCAAGTCCGAGATGAAGCGACCGAACTCATTGATGGAGGCCCATCGCTTTCTACGTCGGAGGCTATCAGTTACTAGGGTGGAGGCCATCGGTGTCCCCACATGTCCCCCCCAAGGGTGACCTGCAGGTGATCCAGTCCACTTTTCTGGTGGCCGCGATGGGGCCGACCGCCAGGTCGTTCATCCCACCTTCCGAACTTCCTGGATTCAAGCTGGGGAGAAAGCTGGAGGATTCACCTTCTAAGATTTGTAAGGTGGTTCTTTAGAATCAAACAGCTGGCTCACAAAGCCGGTTGCTTTTGCGGGTACCGGTCTTGGGTCTGACGTCGTCTGCAGCCGTGCAGCAGTCGACTGCCCCCCTCCCGACCTACACAGATTGAATGGTGACCTCAGGAGGTCTCATAATCATTTCTCCATGCCCTGAGGTGAATTCCATCTGATTTGGGGACACCAAAAGGGGTTTTGCCCCAATTCGGATTTTGCACATGGGGATACTTGCTTTCGGACCACAACAGGTGTCCCGCCGTGGTGGTGCGGGTGCTCCACCCGTCCGACACGAGTTCACTGAGGTTTAGTATACGGGGCATCTGAGCGGTTTGTGAACCCTTTCTGTTTGGTTTATATCTTCTTTCTCCTTCAGACCTTGTTCGATCATTTTTTGCTTTTTCTGTTTGGTCTTTTTGTCCAGAGCGACAGTGGGGTGGGTACCAGTGGTCCACCACCAGTCTGTGGGTCATTCACCCCACCGGAGCCTCAAAGCAAGGTGTCCTGGTGCCATGACCCAGTGCGCCATACCAAGAGAGGTATCCAGTGACCTGAACTAGGACCACCCGGGGTACCCAACTGGGATAGTCTAGTTCAGGTATCCCTAATTAGACCATTTGGGTGGAACTCGTTTCATGCACTTTTCGGCTGTTTTCAGTGACAGCCGCATCTGGGTCTCCCATACTGGGGCGTCTGGATAGCCCAAACACCGCATGGTGGGGCCGTTGTGCTGCCTCCAGGTTCGTAAGACCTCCTGCGAGAGAAGGTCTTGGAGACACCCTCTGAAGATTGGTGTTGGAGGGGGGAGGTTGTTTTACAGAAAGGACACGAAAAGGATGTAAGTTGTACAACCGGCACTTGTGCAGGGCTTGTCCAAGGGTTCATGTGACATACTTGCATGTTCATGTTTGTATTTGGGCACAGAATTGCCGTCCAAGGTATGATCTTTCGAAGGATGCCCGCTCTTGGCATTCCGGGAAATTGCGAAGAGTGGAGCCAAAAGGATGCGCACCCAACATGTGTCCAAATTGAAGACCAAAATCTGACTGCACCAAAATGGATGACTGGAACCCAAAGGATGCCTGGCATCCTATGAAGTTCAAAATTGAAGACCCCCCAAATCTGCACCTTCCAAAAGGTCAGCCAACTCCAACTCCAACCAAAAACGCCCAGCGCCACGGCCGGCGCCACGTCCCCAGTTTTCCCGCCTTCTTCGCTCCGGACAACGGACCGTTCCACCGGACCAACGGGGGCGGGGTTCGAACCGGGCGGAAACGGTCCAGTTCACTCCTCGGAAACGTCCTGCCACAAGCGCTTCGTGGCCATGTTGCCCTGTCCTCACCGAGGAGACGCGAGGGGGTCGCGGAGTGACTGTCCTCACCAAGCTGGATCGACTGCAGGACGCGACGAACGGAGCCAAGGACGCGACGAACGGGGCGAAACTGGCCGTAGTACGAACGGAGCAAGGACGCTACTAGGAAGCTACTAGGGGCTCATTTAAACAAAACCATGTTTTTCCACGGGGGATTGACTCAGTAAATCAAAATCCACCTTCACAAGGCGCCCAGGGTGCTCCCCTTGAGGGTCCCCAGGGGGCACCGTAAACAAGGAGGGTTGGCCATGGTTGGCTTCGATAGGTCTCAATGGAATGTCTTTGGGAAATACTTTGACCTTTTGGGATTGGTCCAACAATTGTTACTCCAACTGCTGCAAGCCATGAATACATTTTTCTTGATCACCTGAAGGGCAACGCCAAACTATACGTACCAAAACGATCCAGGTAAGCAAATATGGCTTGCACCTGGTGGTTTTGGTGGTGGTTGTAGGACATGTTTGCTTGCATGGATCGTCTCGGATATATTGTTACTTCACCCGAACACCATAAGTTCCTTGTTGAAACTAATTCACGTCGTAGTTCCTCATGTGTCCTTCTTGAAGGGGCGAAGGTTTTTGAGACGCCGGTAGTTAGCTAGCCCGGTCACATCGCGCCTGAGGAGACAAATTTCAAAGAGCTGCGGTTGTAGCCTTAGGCGGACGTCCGATCGATCAAAAAATGCAGAGCAGCGATCCAAACAGTGCATCAAAGGCTTTAGAACATGGTTGTTCCGGGATGGTGGGAGTCAAAGGTTCTATGTCAAACAGGCGGTTGTTGCTGACAAACCAACACTGTAAAGGGCAATGGCGGATTGTTTTTCTCAGGTCTCTAAGTGTCAAAGACGGATTGTTTTCTCGGTCCTTCTATCGCTTCTATACAGGTCAAACACAGGATCTATAGAGGTTGAGATCTTGTGATTTGGATATATCAAGATCATCCTGCAGAATGAAAATAGAAATCAACAAAACAACAGAAGAACCGTTTTGGAGAGCTCCCAAAACTATGCGTCAATCAACCACCCCAACTGATCAGTCAATATGCCAGTCCCGTCGGTCGTGTCTGGGTATACATCTTGCCGAATCGTAGCCGAACATCCTCGATCATGATCTACTAACTAGTCCGGCTCACACCAACACTTTGCCACACTCCAACCAACCCAGATCAATGTATAACATATCATATCTTGCTAAAAAAAGTGAGCTAACTATATATAACATTCATAAATAAAATGTATACAATGTTCTGTTGTTCCTTCCAGGTGCTAAATGACTGAATTCCTTCATTGAGCTTTCCAACGATCTGATCCCAGCTCTCCACTTCGCCATCTCCCGTGGTTCTTCCCCCACCGCACCGTCTCCTCACAGCGCGAACCGCCGAACCGCCATCCTACGCCGCACCTCTCGCTGCCTCGCGGGCGCCGGCGGTCATCTCTTGCGCCAAGGAGCGAAGCTTGAAGAAATTCAGCCCACCCTCCGTGTGCCTCGTCGAGCCGACGGAGATCCATGCACCGATGCGGAAAGCTTCCCGGTTGGTGCGACGTGGTGCGAGAGGACAGGAACCCATCGGAAACACATCAAAACGGTGCGGAAGGGACACCAACACGGCGTGGCGAATGTTTGACGCCTTCGCGATAAGGCGGTTTCTGAGAAAAGAACGGAATAATTGTGCTTCTTTTGAGGTGACGTGAGGTCCCTGTCCGGGATTTGCAGACTCTTTTTCATACAGGACTTCCGAAGTCCCGCCACTTGCAGTGTTCCACCTGTGTTTTTTCCAGAAAGACCGGGGCCAGGAGGCGAATTTGAACCCCCATGACCCATCCATGCAAGCAAGAACCCTTCACCAGTCCCATGGGTGGTCTGGTGCGGGGGGTTTTGCGACGGTTTGCGCTTGCGGCATCGCGGTGCGGGAAGCTTCAGCAGAACCGTTCACGGTTTTCACACCTGAACAAGCCGAGCTTGAAGACGTTGAGTGTCAAAGGAATCTGCCCACAGTGTCACCTGTATGTAGATTCGGCCCAATAGTATATTTTTATTTTGTTGAAGAAATCGATGTCACCAAGTCTACGATATTGAACATGTAACTATAACAATTGTTGATGCCTTCCAGTTTCCAAACTTGAGTGTCCTAACCTTTCAAAAGAATAAGCACTTGCAGTAACTCCAGCACCTTTTCTGCGGCCAAGGCTCTCCATCTCTTGCATCGTCGAGGCACTCGAGGCGTTCACCGCCAAGCTGGCAAGATCAGCGAGTCGACCCCTACACATACCAAAACCGAACTAACAACTATATCTGCGGGGAACATATTTGGAGAATAATTGAGCACACATTAACATGTTAGGGAAACCTCCTGATTTACACCTCTTGAAAACAAAACAGGGTGCCGGCAAAGAAGGTGCATTGTTGCACGTCGCAGTCCACTACGGCTCGTTGCCGGCTACCGGCTACGGCTGGGTACGGCCGGCTATATACGGCCGTGCATGGGTCAGAACGGCCAACGATGGCCGGTTACGGGCGACCGGTCGTGGTTCATGCCATGCAAGGCCCAGCCAACTTCAGATTTAGCGGATCCCCTAAATCACCTAAATTTGTAAAATTTACAAAGTTTGAAGAATTTATGTTCATAAACGTGTAAGTGGATTAGTAAATGTAATTTCAATCTAGGTACCACCTAAATTATATCTATTTTTTTGATGACTAAGGTTTTCTGGTGTTTTCTTGTTTTTGACTTGTGACTGTAGCAGATTTCCTGATAGAGAACCTTTTGTAAGAAAAACCATTGAAAACCACATAAAGAATATTGGAAACCGAAAGTAAACTCATTGGGGTCAAGTACAAGAACAAACATTCAGACGAGCACAGTTTTCTACGTGCTCTACTTGGTTGATACTGCTTCAACAAGTGAAATTCTTTGCGCTCTTGGATCTCAGGAGGTAACACCGCATCTCAGCCATGATGGACATGCTGAGGACAGTGCGCGATGACTCGAGCAGTTACTCTTAAAGAGTGTGAGAAAAGGAAAACATCAGCTTCTCTACTGGAGTTACTTCCACTGTTTGTCACATGATATGTTGCTTGGGTTTGTGAAGGGGGGGTTTAAGTCAAGATTCTTACTTGAGAACCTTTACTTCAGAAGTTCTTTATTTGGAAAGACTGTACTTGAGGGTTATTTTACTTGAGGAAACCTAATTTGAGGGTGTGATTGAGAAGACTTTACTTGATGGCATGATTTTTCTGGTGAATACTTGAGGATGCAATGGTGCTTGAACACCTTTACATGAGGATGTGATGGAACTTGCAAATGAGTAGCCTCATATTGAAGAATTATCTTCAAAAAACATCATAAATCCAGATGAATTCTTGGCGCATTTCTGATGCACTTTCCAAAACATCACGGAACATGTACAAATCATTCTTTGTAGGTTTGTCTAAAAACATGCTCTTTTGCATCAACATGAGATCAACTATGACAAACGTTTCATATAGTTGTCTTATCAACAAACATCTATCTATGTTTCGTGCAGCTTTCATGGCAGTGTAATGTTCGTTTCTTGAATATTGTGTACTTGCGGAACTGGATTTGAACTCGAACAGGTACATCTGCAAGGACAGGGCATTCACATTTTCGTGACCTGGTCGAGCAAACCCCGTAAAGATAAGAAGAACAACCTGAAGAGTCAAATAGCCTGCTACAGCAAAAACAAGGGGAACCCCAAAAGCAAAGGCCAAGGCAAAGGAAAGTCTATGGAGAGGCCCTCTCTCAGCATCAGGCAAACAAGAAACCAGCCACCAAGTCTTCTCATCCTTGCATGGTGCACATCCTCAAGTATAAGTTTCTCAAATAAATTTTCAAAAAAACGTATTTAGCAAGTAAAGAAACCTCAAGTAAAAGCCCCCATCAAGCAACCAAAAAGTCAACCCCTGGCCTGTTCAGTCAAAAAGCAACAAAACATAGCGCAAATATATTCAAGTAAATGTGGTGATTAGAGAAATCTGCTATTTCGGACAAGGCCAGCAAAAATAATTTCGAACTTGAGGCTTGACACCCATGCTTTCCAATACTTTTAGGTTCTACTTAAAGTAAAATTCCCCAAGCAGTGTGGTCACACTAGGGGTTCTTACGGTAGTTGTTAAGCACTGGTGTCTAATCGAGGTCTTGCACTGGGGCGTCCGGCTAATTCGCTGCTATTTACAGTACATTCATACCTTTCGAAATCCTCGACGTGCATTTCGACTGCGCAGGCTCGCAAAATCTGCTTGGCCGCAGCGGGTGCTTGTCGCGACTGCGCTCTCGTTGTGGTGCCGGGACCTGGTGGTCATTTTTCGTGGCAGGCGCCAGGGAAACCTCGTGTTTTGGTGGTCCAAAGTCGACTTTTCGTGACAGGTGCAGCACTTTGTGAACCTCGAAGTGCAGATTTCTGGCAGGCGCACTCCACTCTCACTCTCACTCTCACTCTCACTCACACTCACACTCACACTCACTCTCACTCTCACTCTCACTCTCACTCTCACCACTCCACTCCCACTCCCACTCCCACTCCCACTCCCACTCCCACTCCCACTCCCACGCCCACTCCCACTCCCACTCCCTCCCTCACTCACTTCCACCACCGCCATCACCACGATCTCCACCTTCATCACCACCGTCACCTCTGGACCCCAATGCGTCTAGATCTCTAGAGTCTCTGCTGCTACACCTCTAGACCTCACACGCACTGTTTGGGGCCTCTTGCCGGGATAATTTACGTAAGTTTTGATGTACGTAAGTTTTCCTTAGTAAATAAAACATGGCTTTACTTTGGGTGATCGCCACCGTGACGCTTGTTTTCGCGCCATGGTGAGGAGCATGTTGTCATGGTTGTGAGTTTTGTGGTTTTCGATTTTGCTTGTGGGTCCTCGGGTTTGGGGTTGTTACTTTAGTGTTGGGAGTTCGCGTCGGGGTCTCGCCAGGGTCACCAGTTGGCATCCAAAAGTGCTACCCTGTGACCACCTGCAATATATTGCTGTAGCTGTGGTTGTGGTTGTGTGTTGTGGTTGTGTGCTGTGTGTGGTTGTGTGTTGTGGCTGTTTGCTGTGGTTGTGTGTTTGTGGTTGCGCTGTGGTTGTGTTTGTGGTTGTGTTTGTCCGGTAGTGCCCACTGTGATCTGGCACTTGCGGTTGAGGTCCGGTAGTGCCCACTGTGATCTGGCACTTGCGGTTGAGGTCCGGTAGTGCCCACTGCGATGTGGAGCTGACGGTTGAGGTGGCGTGAAGGAGGAGGAGGAGGAGGAGGGGGAGGAAGAGGAAGAGGAGGAGGGCTCTGATAAAATCTAACAGCCCCTCACCTGACAGGTGGGGAAAATACGTAATTCGTAAATGTTCGTACAATTAATTTCGGCGACTTAGGGTCAATCAATCTCTTCCTCAGCACGTTGACCCGCTGCATCCGGCTTCTTTGACCCGTGCTTGTAGAACTGCTTGTAGAGGGCCCAATGCAGCCACTGTCGATACAAGCGCTGGCAGGCCGATCTCGTTGCGCGTTTTCTCTCCCACGAGGAACTCGTTGATACGCAGGAAACTTAAACATGGCCGCAAGAAGTCCGACCAATAAAACAGGATCTTCATTCGCAGCCATTTGGAGATGTTCCTGTCTCACATGAAAGCTGTCCTTCGGAAATGGAGCTTGGGTCCCAAAGGAGCCCGACGCGCACCCCTTGCGGTTGCAATCTTCTCACTTTGTGTGTACATGTTGGCACATCCTTGCTTTTTGCTGATCAAATGCAACCCAGCATTGGAATCAACAACACATTGTGTTGGATAATTCTGAGCTGGTCAGAACTCCCTTCCGCTCACAAGCCAAAGGTTCTCCAACCCCCTTTTGGTCGCATCAGTGATGACCGTGTTTTGCAAGTCAGGATTTGCAACAATCAGCCACTTGGGCTATGACGCATCCATCATGTGTCGGACCCGGGTGAGCAGACCCCAGGTGCAACACAGAGATGAGCGGACAGGCAGGCCACTACCCTACCCTGTAGTTAAGGGACCGGGTGAGGAACGTTAAAATCACAAGAACATGTAAGGGCTCTGTACCAGCATCACCCAGGTTGGGTGGTTGGGGGTTCCAGGCACAACTGGTTCATTTGTTGTCGCTTTATATACAGGGTCTGCTCATGATTTCTTTGCACAAATCCCTCTCACATCAAAATTGTTGCCACAAGTCACATGTCGGGGTGGTGTTTAGTCCCTAAGTGAGTGGATGTTCTGGGCACCGCCAACCCCCGTTAAGCACCCCTTTGGAACTGCTGGTGTGCGGACCCTTTTGGATGTCGCTCAAATGCTGGATGACCAAAGTGGATCATCTCTACCAATTATGCCTAAAACCTTGCTCCCGCAGGTGGAGGCGCTTCAAAGGCGCTTTTTGGGAACCGGGAAAAACATAAAATTAACCCGCCACCCCAAACCTGTCGCTGAAAAAGGTCAGAAAACCCCCCACCCGCCTCAAATGCTCCTCCTCAGCCTTCAGTCCCAAAAACTGAGCCAAGCCTGAGGGCACGGACCGTGGCGTCTTCGAAGTCGCGATCCCTGGAACGTGAAGCGAACGAAGCCTCCACCGGTGGGAGGTGAAGGGTGTCCCGTTTTTCGCCCCAAACGAGGTGACCATGGAGTAGGTGATCCACTTTTGGTTGAGAGCCCAGGTCCTGAGAGCGGCTCTTCAGCGCACGGTCCCCAGCCGCCACGTGGGCGCCGTTCCGCTCCAAGAAACGTTGGAGCTCCGCCTCCGTGTGCTCTTCGAGAGCTTCATACCGGAGCCTTAGCTGCGGAGCGATCCGAAGTCCCGTCCGAGGGAGACGCTTTCGACCGCGTTTCAACGCGGGTGGCGACCTGACTAAAGCGTTTGGAGCTCTGCAGGTCGGAGCCGGGTCCACACGCAAGTTCAGACTTTATGTCGGAGGGGGGTCCAGCTTCCATGTCCAGATGGATTGGAGCATATTCGTCGAAAAGAGACCACTTGCCTCAGGCTGTTCGTTGTGGTTCTTAGCACGAGCCACCAGGGATGGTAACATAGAATTCTGGAGGAGGAGTCGCCTGTCGTTGATGTTGGTGTCATTTGCAGGTGGACCCCTGCAAGAAGAAACCCCTCCGATCAGATCTGCAAAAGAAGATCCCAATAACTATATCCCAATATTGGCTTTCGATTGAACCCTCTTCCTACATCTTCAAGCGCGAACCACACCAAACATCTTCAAACCACCCCACACGACCCCCCCCCCCAAACCCCCCCCCCATGTGTCTCTCCAAAGACCTCGGCCCGTCGTCCTCAGCTCCGCTCGTCCCCGGAGACCGTCCCGGTCCCAGAAGCCAAAAGATCTTCACCCCGCGCTGCTCAGCGTGCTGCCAGGAGCGAACATGATCCGCCCAGGAGGTGCCTGGGTACATCCTGCCGGGCCGAAGCGTTTGGAGGCGAACAACGGTGGACATGGACATGAAGAACACGGAGTGGAACTCATGGTTTTGGATGAATCGGGACCGATGTCAGGTGGTGTAGAGGGTTCTTGGATGCTTGGTCTGATGTGGGTAAAGCAGTAGTGCAAGACCAAGCCCCACACGGAAGCCAAACCGAAATTGGGCGCACAGAGTCGTTCTCCATTTAGTTTGTTGAAGTTGACACGAGTTGGCCAATCTCAGGATGACCAAACATGCAAAGCAAAAATTCAAAAAAAAGTGGGATCACATAATATAATGCGCTCAACCATCTGGGGTGGGACTGTCCACCCCCCCCTGAATATGTATTAAAATACTTGAGATGGTCTTACCCCACCCCCTGGAAATGAATTGGAGGGTGTGCACACTGTCCTGAATAATTTTCAGACATCCATAGGAACTGTGTTATAAAAATGCAGCCATCCCAGCAGCATTTTTGTATGCATGTGCATGTGATGCGAAATCGATGCAGGAGTTTGCACCAGTCATGAGATGTCATGAGTCTCATTTTTCTTGCATGCTATTCCTCTGGTATCCATGGTGTGCTGCACATAACAACTTGTTTGGCACCCCCTCAATTAATGTAATCTTGGGGTGGGGTGGGGCCACCATCAATTATATAACTATGCATTTTTAAGGTTCAGGTCACTGGTGGGTTTAGCACGGTAAGCACGGTAAGCCCGTGGTGTGGGGGGTACCCCCACCCTCAATTGATTCTGCGGTTGTTTTTTCAAGCAAATACCAAATACAAACATATACAGACACGTTCTTGAACTCGTCGTACCTTTGAGTTTTTTTTTAAACAAGTCCCTCAGTCCCTCTGACGTGCAGCAGGCAGCTTCAGACTGACTACTTCCAAATGCTGTGGATCTGCCCTCTTTGTCTGCAGCTGCCCGGTAGTTTAATCTAGGTGGGTGGACTCCATGTTGGAATTTTAATCTAGGTGGGTTTACTCTATGTTGGGTTTTCTATTCAGGGTGGCTAGACAGGCGTCAAGCATCATGCAAATGACCACCGGTTTTAACAATTGACACCCACCACCTACCCACCTCACCAACTATTAAAAAACATTAATTGAGAACAGTAATTGACACAGTGACTCCACCTCGGACCTATTTCGACAATGTCGAGGAAATATAATATGCATATATTAAACATCCATTCCACCACCAAGCAATTCCACCAAGCAAATTCAGCCCCGCCTCCGGTCATTCACAAAGGTCCCAAAGTTTCTCCGATCACGAAGGTGACCCAAGCCCAAGCGGAAGCGGAAATAGGAAGCCATCGTGTTGTAGCCATTACCTGCAGTGTCGACCCAAACGATGAGGGTGAAAGGTGCTGAAGCTGCGCGCACTGTGAGGGTCGCTGGGGCAAAGCCCACCCCTTTCAGAAAATGGGCTGATGATCTAATGACATTGGTGAGGAGTGCATCCGGATGACATCTCCCCCTTGCAAGTAGAACTGCAAGTCCAATGTCAACCTCTGAAAATCTACGAGGTCGCACCTACGACCTGCCAAATGTCAAGCATTGTATAGTATGTTTATTACCAGCACCCCCCAGTCGGGGTGGTTAATGGACACCCCGAATCACAGCTAAGGGGCTATAAACCCCGACAGGAGGGTCGTGGTATATATTGCATTTATATGGCTTTGGGTCATAAAACCACGACACCAACTGGTTAACCTAAGTGTTGTCGGGACCGGTTGTTCAAAGAATGGCACACTGGTGCGCTTGCTTGTGCTTTGGACCCATTCCAGACGAAAAGTAGACCCCCACTAAACATGTCTTGGACACCGTGATCAGTATCTCTTTGGGGATCACTGGCTGCCATATAATATAGCCTATCAGTCATCCCAAATCGTCCAAACAAAGAACCACGGACTCGCACCGGCTTCAACGGCACAACCCGTCTGCCGCGTCGCGGTCTCCGCACCTTTTTTGGCCACTCGCACGTGGGACGAGACCAAACGGCCAAATGTTCGGTCGACGTGTCGCGCCGCGCCCAGTTCGGTCGGGCGGCACGTGAAACGACGGAGAAACGACGTGAAACGTGTCAGGAGATGTCAGGAGTGGAGTTGGGTGGTGTGGCTCGTCTCATCCAGGGGCCGTGGATGTGACGTCGGGGCACCCTTATCTTAACCTCCATTATATAAGCACCCGTTTGGTCCGGAGAGCTACTGTGGGCCGAATACGAGTGGATGGAGGAGCAATCTACAGTAAGGGATATCAATGATTTGTTTGGAAGGTTCTGAAAGTATCTTGGGTGGTATATCCCATTCCCTGGAACAGTGGATGATGATTGTTAGGTTGCAGGTCTCTCTCTAAAATAGGGATGTTCTTGTTTACTGACGGTTACAGGCTTTCTGGGACAGACCCTTAGATCCTATGTTGCTATTCTTGAGCCAGCCTGGGGCACGGCTGCTCGCTCTCCGTCGTTCACATTCTTTCAGTTGCCTCACTGGCCAATCACAGCCATGTGGCACCTGTTCGGAAGCCACCGTGAGGATGATCTGTTTCTCTAAGACTCTAAGATGCGCACGACCCTGCATCACCGACCCTTCAAAAGCGGGTGTGGCTAACATATGAAACATATTGAAACATTGTCTCTATGGTCTCCATGCGAACATCATGCTGTCAAGTCTGAATATTGAGGAATACTGTTTTGTTTATTTTTGCATGTTTTGTATTTTTTGATAACTCGATATATTTTTTTGGATCCCCCAGTTTAGTTGGGTCCCTGTAAGGGTTGGCTACCCAGAATATTTGGGGAGCCTCTCATTGAACTGAATTGATACGAGTCCAGCCTCGTGCAACTTCATCTTTAGTCACTTACCACCTGCCTCAACATGGTTTGCTCTCATTAATTGTACTCCAACCTTGGCAGCTCCAGTAATTACTCAGTATATAATTAGTGCTGCATCACTATAAATGTTTTAGATCGTTTTAGCACAAGCAAGATTGCGATCTTTTTGGAGCCACTTCTTTTGGGCCGACAACGGAGGATTTCAACCCAAGGTGCAATGAATTGGCGAGGATGCTGAGCCTACGATTGAAGCATGGAGAGATCATCCCATATATGGGATGAAAAAAGAATGTCATGCCACCTTGTGTGGAATTCCATTAAGAGCCCTTTTCAGGGGATATATCCGGTAATTCATGACGTTCTGGGTCAGTTTTTCCATCCTTCATCCAAATGTACTGTTGGGAAAGAACCTGTAACTCTCCATCCCCCAAAAAACTACTGTGCTTACACCATCGACGAACGGGCACTCGTCCTTCAAGTATAGGTACTATCTTTTTAGCACTTCTTGCAATTGCAACAATAATGCAAACACTCGAAATATGCATGGTTTAAAGTCATCGTGGTGTTCAAAAACTCGAAAATCGTGGATGTTGATTTGATGTGCCCACCCAACTCATTGACATGGCGTGCCAATCGGTCAACTTCGATCCGCCTCGGAAACCTTCGATCGGTCTCGGCGTACCTCTCCATGCGCTGAATGACCCAAACTCGATCCATGGGACTGGCAATAGATACAGTAAATGTATTACAGAACCCGGGGTATAAGGATGTTTTAAGTGTGGTGCCAGCAAAACCAGAGGCTTCTTCCAAGGTTTCTAAATGTTGGTCGCTCAGGGTGCTTTTTTATTTCCTGTATCTTCCAAATGGCACAAGTCAAACACTTGCATGTTCACTGAACAATGCCTCCAAAAAACCACTTTGGTGCCAAATAGGAAGATCCAGGTACTGATCCAGGTATGTGCCATTGACTCCTGAAACCTGACCTTTTCTATCATTATCACGGTCCCGTGTGGCGCCCGCAAGCGACCGTGTGGCGCCTAGAACACCGCATGCGTCGACCTCTTCGCACGTGTCGACCTCACGTTCCGAACGACATCCTGGACAAAGGAAGAAGGAGTCTGACAGCACAAGAAGGAGTCTGCCGCCAGTTCAAACAAAAAGACCGCTAAAGAAAAGTTCTTCATGCTTCATTCAGCCCTCCTCAGCTTGTCTCGCGAAAGTGAAAAAGCGCCCACAACATGCCATGCAAAAGGCTTGCTGGCCGACGCTCATAGTTGGACTCCTCGTCCCAGTTGTTTGACAAACCCGGTCGCAGTGGAACCGCGTTCGATTTTTACCGAGTGTTCACTCGGCATTGAAAGCTTCGCACTTGAAAGTTCAAGCGAAAGTGCCCATTGCACGCCGGAGCCTCAAGCGAGGACCTGCGATGACCAGGTGTTCTAACATCTCCAAGCGGGTTTTTCGCGAGGGTAACGCGAGCACACACAAGCAGTTCATTCAAAATTGAGACTGATAGGGTGTTTAACTTGATCTTTGCAAACAGAAACATACAACAAAAATATACGGAAGCAACACCGTATAACTGTGAATCTGAAGAAATCGGGCACGAAATTGCGCATGGTTTGCTCCATCTCCCGCCCATGGTTTCTCCCTCTTTCTGCTGGCAAAGAGCAAGCCCCTGGGATCCAAGTAGTTCGACACTGTAGGTGCCCAAAACGTCGGGTCGTTCGTCCTACCGAACCTGAGGTGTTTCGAACGTCGGGCTTCGACTTGATCCGCATGGTCTCTATGTGAAACCGCTGTGGAGCTCAGTGGAGCTCGAACCGATGAGAGACGTCGAGACTGGTCGGCCGCGGCCGCTTTGTCCTTTGACGTGCGGAGCGATCCTCCAAGGAGAATCGGCTTCAAACACGCTGGGCGACCCGAGGCGCCAAAACCTTCAGAACCGGTTTTGCACCACAAGAAAAGTACAAAACCAGTCATGCCATATCACCGTCGTCGTGCGTTGTCTGCGTTGTCTTCGAAATCAGTTGCTCCGGTTTCAGACGTCTCCACAGCCCAGCCTCAGATCCAGTGCAGGCACCTCGACGCCAGCCCGGCCAGGCGGGGTGACGTCAATCCTACGAGATCCGCATCCGGCAATCAAACAGAAACAACGAGCCCTGCTTGTTCGGACGCTGGGACTGAGGATGACCAGTCGGTTTTACCACAACGACCCCTTGCAGGCTGTTAAGTGACTTGATACAAAGGACCCCATAACCTGGGGTACCTATATATGGGATAGTCTATAGGCTATGGGGACTGCTATGGGGTACCTAGCATACATATGGGATAGCAATCCCCGAAAGAGGTCGGTTTCACCTCATGTTACTGGGGGTGCTCACACACACCAAAAAAGATACACACTAAAAGCAATACTTAAGGAGGACTCCAGGACTAGGTTTCGACCTGGGTCCTGCATGAATTTTTGGGGATCCAAAGAGCAACCCTCAACCAACGGCCGTAGCACCCGGAACCGAGCTTGCCAAAAGAGGTGACCTTGGATCGGTTCCAGCCGATCGCTTCAAACGGTTGACCATCCGTTCCGTGGTGGTTTCAACTCGAAACATATCCGTATGATCGATCCTCCCAAGAGGAGCCCTCAATATACCTGGAGCCTCAAAGTGACCTCAGAACATCACTACAGTGGTAGTGATGTTTTGTGTTTTGGGCCATGTCCCATGTTCTAGAGTACTTGAAGTCAGGTCCAGGTCTCTGCAAACACATTCGCCAGAGAAGGTCCACATGAATCCAGGTCAGCAACGTGGAGGACTTCGTTTTCGCCAAAGGCGACATAATATTCTTGAACAATTATATATATATATATATATTTAAGTTCAAGGATCTCATTAAACAAACAAAGTCAATCCAAATAATATACTGTATCTATTGATATCTTGTATAATGAAGATAAACAATTGATAACACAAGCAACAAGGACTCAGAAACCATTCAGAAAACAAACAAAACAACAACTCCCTGGTGTTGTCCGTGCTCCACCTACCATTTGGCTTTGCAATAACAAACAGCTTGTCTTGCTTGCGTTGGCCTGTTTGTTTGGCCCGGGTGAGATGATTGAAATTGCTTTGACTTCGTGGGTGGTCAGGACCCCCCAAAAAATACATTCTGAATTGGTGAGCTTGGATATGCTTGGAGAGATCCATACTTCGCCTCAGAATGCCAAGATGCCCTTTTGGAGTACTTCGAGCCTACGAGCCTTTTGGAAAACATCGAGTATGACCTCCATGAAACAAAGGAATCAGGGCCCAAAGAAACTCCATATATATATATATAAAGACTCCCAGCACTTCACTCTCTTTTGTCTGCAATGCAAAGCCTA